ATATACATAATAAATATACACAGTACACACACATATATTATGTAAACTTTTATTTTGGATGTGATTAATCGCGATTAATCGTTTGACAGCACTAATATTTATATTATCTTGTATATTCATAATATTTATTAATTTATATTATTAAATATTTTTTGATATATTTGCTAAATACATCATATAAATGTATTATTTTAAATAAAGCACAGTCTGTGGCTTGCAATTTTACTACTACTGTCAGAATGTGTAAGTGACCCATACATTTAAAACTTGAATGATATATTCATGTTTTCCTCTTTTTTTTTTTTTTTTTTTTGGTTTTTTTTCTAGTAGTGAGAGAAGTAGATATCTCTGTCTCCCGGACGCAGGTAGAGGAGTTGTTTGGACTGGAGGATTATTGGTGCCAGTGTGTTGCCTGGAGCTCGGCAGGCACCACAAAGAGCCGGCGGGCTTATGTCCGCATCGCCTGTGAGTTTGTGTTCAGCAGCTTATGTGATCTGTCCTTCTTAGGCAGGCACTCTGCATTTAAAAGACAGAACCTGAAGAGAAACCTAGTATTCTGACTATAGAACATTCACTATTTTTGCTTGTGCTTTTATTCTTTTTTTGCTGAGAAGAAATTTTTTTTTATTGTTTATTTTGGTAAAAAAAAATATTTCTGTGTTTATCAGACCTACGGAAGAACTTTGAACAGGAGCCACTTGGCAGGGAAGTGCGTCTGGAGCAGGAAGTCTTGTTGCAGTGTCGTCCACCAGAGGGCATCCCGCCTGCTGAGGTGCCATATCACCTTCTTATCCTTTCTGTTATTGTTTCAACCTCCAACTGTGTTTTCCCTTTGTTTGTTTCATGCATAAAAACAAACAAACAATTTTTGATTCCTTGAGGTTTCAGTAAAACCCGTAAGCAGTGGTACTTTAATATTGCAGGCTTTGATAAAACTTTCAACCACACAGAATATTTTACACCATTCATTTTCTTTCAGTTACACCTTTTTTGTATTCAGAACATGCCTGGTGCTTTTTAAATTTTCAGTTCAAATGATTCAAAACACAATTTTGTTCCAGATGCACATCATTCTTCTTCAAACTGAATGGATTGATTTCTTATAATGCCACAGGTGGACTGGCTGAAGAACGAAGAGCTCATTGACCCGGCGCTGGATTCTAACTTTCTAATTACCATCGACCATGACCTAATCATCAAGCAGGCTCGACTCTCTGACACAGCTAACTACACCTGCGTGGCTCGTAATGTGGTCGCTAAGCGACGCAGCAGCACTGCCACACTCATCGTCTACGGTAACCACTTGACCAGTCAGAATCCCTGCAGCGATCTGAATCATTGAATGAATCTGTCAAGGGAAAGTTCTCTACACAAAAGAAAACTAGAATCTCCCGTAGTGGTTATGAATATTTATTACACGGCTCTGTGAAATAATCACTCCTTATTGGTAAGTTTCAGCATTCTGCAGTCTGTAATGATAATTTAACATTTGACCAGTGTCCTACACTGTGAAAGTTTCATGTTGTTTTTTTCTTTGCACTCTTTTTATTCTTCCATAATTAAATCGTTAAATAATTAAATCGCTACTATTCAAAAGTTTGGGGTAGGATACATTTTTTTATTGCAAGAAATTCCTTATTCAGCAAGGATGCATTAAACCTATCAAAAGTGACAGTAAAGACGTTTATAATGTTACTTTATAAAAGATTTCTTTTTCAAATAAATGCTTTGTACTATTCATGAAAGAATCCTGAAAAAATAATCACGGTTTTCACAAAAATATTAAGCACCAACACTGTTGTGATCCATTGATAATAATAAAAATGTATGAATCATTTCTGAAGAATCATGTGACACTAAAGATTGGATTAATATCTTCTGAAAATTCAGCTTTGCCATCACAGGAATAAATTACATTAAATATAAAATATATATTTTAAATTGTAATGATATTATACAGTATTACTCTTTTTACTGTATTTTCTGATCAAATAAATGCATCCTTGGTGAGCATAAAACATTAAAATCAAAAACATTAAAAAATCTTACCAACCCCAAACTTTAGAAAGGTAGGGTACATAATATTTCAGCACAAAATCAATATTTCATGTTTGTTTATTAATTTATTTGGTAAGCAGCTGTGTAATAAGTGGGACAATTAATCTGGCCATTTTTGCAAAAAAAAAAAACACTTCAGGATATTTCAAGGCCCTCTCTGCTTTAAATCAGGGTCCTGGTTGTTCTGTCAGGATTATGACATGCTGACTTTACATTATCTCTCACGTATGATATAATATGCAGCCCTTTTGTACATTGTAATAATAATAATAATATGTTTTATTTTTATAGTGCCTTTCAAGAACCCAAGGACGCTATACAAAATAATACAAGCAATTGACAAACAAAATACACCAGACAATCAGAGGGGACATTCAGACAAACAAGTGTAAATTTTGTCAAGACAATTATGTTAACAATTATGTCAAGAAGGTGGTTATGTAACATACAAACAAAAGTTGGGAAACAGAGGAGCAGTATCAGAGGAGCAGTATCCTATTGTATAGCTCAAAGTAGTTCATTTTGCATTGCTGCTTGTTTTTTCTTTAATAGTCCAGTTAGTGTATCTAACAGGCTCCGTTCTCTTCAAAGCAAACTGCATGTCAGTGTATATGTGTCTCATGTACAGTATCTCACAGAAGTGAGTACACCCCTCACATTTTTGTAAATATTTTATTATATCTTTTCATGTGACAACACTGAAGAAATGACACTTTGCTACAATGTAAAGTAGTGAGTGTACAGCTTATAACAGTGTAAATGTGCTGTCCCCTCAAAATAACTCAACACACAGCCATTAATGTCTAAACCGCTGGCCACAAAAGTGAGTACACCCCTAAGTGAAAATTTCCAAATTGGGCCCAAAGTGTCAATATTTTGTGTGGCCACCATTATTTTCCAGCACTGCCTTAACCCAATGTGAGGGGTGTACTCACTTCTGTGAGATACTGTATATATATCTGGCTCTCCTTCCTTAGTGAGTGGGGGCTGGTCATCCTGGACAGAGTGGTCAGAGTGCAATGCTCAGTGTGGGCGGGGTTGGCAGCGACGGACACGCAGTTGCACCAATCCAGCACCGCTCAATGGAGGAGCCTTCTGTGACGGCCCACCATTCCAGAGAGTCACCTGCACCACCCTCTGTCCAGGTGAAGACTGACACCTGTCGCAACCTTACGTGACACACTATATAACCACCAACAAATTCACATAATCCACTGACAGAGTCTTAATCCATTGCGTAATTGCTCATTATGTATTTTCCTAGTGGACGGAGGCTGGACGGAATGGGCCAAGTGGTCAGCGTGTGGGACAGAGTGCACACACTGGCGAAGCCGTGAATGTCAGGCGCCCCCACCACGTAATGGAGGACGCCACTGCAGCGGCAGCATGATGGAGAGCAAGAACTGCACGGAGGGACTGTGTGCCCGCAGTAAGTCACATGACCCAGCATCATCAGTGACAAAGTGTCAGCATTAATGAAACATGACTCTGCCAGTCAAATAATAAGTGATATGAACCTGGTCCTCACCAGGATTATTATAGTTAACTACAACTAAAACCATAAAAAAAAGTTTGACTCTTAAAATAAAAAAAAACAATTAAAATGTATTTGACTTGTTTATATTATAATTAACTTATTCTCATTTTCATTTTCATTTAGTTTAACCTGATAAACTAAAACTGAAATAAAAAGGTAAAATCTATATGGACATATATAAAAAAATAAAAATGACAAAAGCACACAACAAAATTACTAAAACTTCTAAATAAAAAAAAAAATGTTTTTTTTTGTTTTGTTTTAAAATAAATGCTGTTCTGTTGAACGTTGGATTCATCAAAGAATCCTGAAAAAAAATCACAGTTTGATTTTTCATTCAAGGAATGATTTCTGAAGGATCATGTGACACTGACGACTGGAGTAATGGATGCTTAAAATTCAGCTTTGCCATCACAGAAATAATTTACATTTTAAAGTATATTAAAAGGGAGAACAGATATATAAACCTGGTCCTCACCAAAGTTATTATAGTTAGCTAAAATTAATACCATATAACATTTGTTACTTGAAATAAAATACATGTAACTGAAAAAA